GATAATTATACTTATTATGTAACATTCTCGTCTTATTTATTTATTTATAAAAGTACCTGTGATTTGTAATCTGTGCAATTTGTTATGTATTTTGATCTAAATATAAATTATTATAATTAACTAAATGATCTTAAATTTTTTTAAATCTTAAAATGAGATATTATTTATTCGTAGGTATTTTTAGATTTCTTTAGAAAAATATGACTCAAAGCAAGTACCTAAATATTTATAGTTTACTGGCTTCCAGTTGTTTTGAGTAAATGAAATAAAATATTGCTTTTATAGTGATTATTGCAATCTTATTGACCAAACCAGATAATATTAATAATGATTTGGAATCTGAAACAATGATAATCCAGCTTATCATAAGGGCAATGTTGGTCAAAAATTAGCTCTCCCCCCCCCCCCCCTCCTTTTTACAGTTTTGACTGACTCAAATAATAGTTTACCTATGCCATATACCTCTAAAAACAGAATAGAACTTAATGCTTGCCTGAAATCATACTTTAGCAATTTTAGGCTTAATACATAGGTTTGCTTAAAAATAAATAATGAAACATTCATGAAAACAAGAAAGTCATGTACATTTCAGTTTAGAAAGTGTTAGTTTTCCTGAGAGGATGTGACTGTGGTAAAATCTGGTCCATATCTGTTGAGAATGTTGGGCACATGGGGAAACTTTTTTCTGTTATACTGAGGATAGACTTTTGTGTTGCCATGGTGACAATACTTCCAAGGATTGTGGTCCAGGAAAGGTTCCTGAGACAGGGCCAGTAAACATAGAGGCGTTCTATAAGGGGAAGCACTCCATGTGGTTAGATGTTGTGTCTTCCAGTCTGCTGGCACCTGGCAAGAGTACACGAAAGATTTTCTTTTTGAAAATATGATTTCAATTACAACAATTAAGTACATATACATGACTCTTGGATCTTCTTGTCCCGAAAAATTTGCGCATTCTCTTTGATGTAAAAAATAATCCATGACAATAATGGAGTGCCACAAAACACTGCATTTTATTGTTTTGACAATGTTAAGATGTATAAATGAAAAGATACAAATGTCTAGAAAGAATGTAATACCATTTTATAAGATATACTTATCTAAAAAAAAAAAGAATAGACTCGACCAGTCATAAACCCAGCCATAGAAAGCAAAATAAGTTCGGTATGTACATAGCTTTCCTCTTCAAATTTTTCATGAACCTTAGGTCCCTGCCCATTTGGCTCTATACGCCCAGCTACCACTGCCAATACGTAAATCTACTAAATACGTTGATGCAACTGAGATTCAAAGTTCAGTTAAAATGGAAATGTTATGATGCTATAAAAAGTACCGCTCCACCCTCTATTTTTTTTTTTTTTTAAATAACCCAAGTTGTTGATCTTAGGCCTTACTTTTGGTTCCTGATATATTTTCGGAAATCGTCTTCTGGTAGGAGCTTCTGTTGGTTCTGGATGTCGGAATGATGTCGCTGTTATTGGGTTGTAGTCAAACGGTGTCATATCATTGGATCGGTGATGTAAAAATGAGTTCTCTGTGTGGTGCAGGCGTTTGTCGTGGGGGTGCACTCTCCTGCCAAGACAGCGTGTGTCTCTGCCCTAGTGAAATGTCATTGGAACACATTACAGTACAGCTGGGCCAACGGTAACATTCTAACAGACTAATAAGTTCTTCATTGTTTTAACGCACCCTTCCATAGATGTCTTAGTTATAGAGATGTTCTTGATGAATGAGACGTGGCTTGTATGTTTTATTTTTCAATGATTTCTAGTTTTAGAACATGGATTACGTTCCTAAGTAAGTTTGGAAAGATTAAACAAATTGACGTTTTTGGAACTGGAGAACTTGGCTTTGCTTTTAACAGCAATAGTGAAGACATTAACGCTTGTATTATATGCCTATAACTATGACAACTTGATACATTAGGAATAGTAGAAACGTAATTGAAAAATGTCAACACAACTTTTGAACTAACATTTAATTAGTGAGAAATAAAAGTAAAGAGTCACACGAACTAAGCCTAAATACTGGTATACTAAATGATCAGGCTATTCATCGCAGTGAAAACTGTATAGATCTAGATTTTAACTTTTATTTAGTCTATATTTTTTAGACCTTAGAATATGCAATATCAGTGAGCTCATTAATAGTACATGCACTCATTTATTGGCTAAAACTTATGAAATAGAGAAAGGGTAAAAGATATACATACTTTAAAAAAATTCAAATGTAAATCTTTAGTCAAATTTCATTGCCAAGGCTACTATCATGGTCAATCGACATCATTAAAGAGATAACGCAAAAACACCTGCTTTTTATTAGACCTACGCAAATCAAGACCTAATGGGGTTTTATTTTAGTGTCACACATCAACTGTAGGCCTACCATACAATACACAACTAGACAACTCCTCTTACATTTCCAAAGTACTCTCCTCTGTTTTGGAAAAAGTTTCTGTTGTTAAGTTGTGTAAAGGGGTACTCCTGGTTGTGTAAGGACTGAAAACAGAAAACAATTACAGTCAATGGATATAGATAATCTTCTTATCTTATATAATACAGACGTTCCTTTAAAAAAAGATGATTACGTCCTAAGCGTCATACATATTAACCAATGACCTAATTCTGCTAAGTCACTGGTTTTCCTGGCTAGCTCAGGCACCCATCCCATGCTCTTATAGCACTAGGGAAAAAAGAGAATTTGTACAAATTTGTTCTAGCATATAGAACGAGGAATGTGCCTTTATCTTTATGTCTTTCTGAGTATTTTATTAGATTTTGTATTTGAAGATTATGGTTCAGTGTTTTATGTATAATTGCTACTTGAGTCTTCTATCCTGAAGGCTTTCTAAAGTTAGTGATTTTACTAAAGGTGTTACTCTAGTCAAATGTGAATATTCGTTTGCTCTATTTTGTGTGTGTTCCAGTTTCTTAATGTTTTCTTGAGTTGAGGGGTGCTAAACAGAGGATGCATATTCTATTATTGGCCTAACCAAGGCTCAATAACATTTTAGTTTTATGTTCTTATTTGATTTATAGAAATTTCTTTTAATAAACCCTAATGCTTATTATAGGTTTATATTATTTCCTTAAGGAGTTGAAAACGAAAAGCTTCGTCTGTCAAAGACTGTCTGTATCAGTGTGACACATAGCAGCTGGGTGTGATCCTAAATAGCACGAAATGCATAATTCTTTGGACTAGAAGATATTTGCCTTATTAATTATTAATTATACATTGATTTGTTAATACCAAAACTTTTCCAATGTGAAGCTGTACAAAACGTTTCTTCGGAAAACGAGTAGGACTTTTTTTATAAATAGAATCCTCATGAAAACTTTGTTCATACAGGTTTTTGATCAGCAGTTTCTATTTCAGAGGGGTCAGACTATTACTCCTACAAAGCTTATTTCAAGTCTCTCTGTCCCTCTGCCTGGTACATATTTTGTACACGCTGTTTCTCCCACTTCCCTATCTCGTATCATGTTGAAATTTCGCTCTATTCTTCATTATCCTTGACAAAACATAAATCAATCAAAACATTAACCAGTTAATTAATTAGTGATAATTAATGAACTTCGTTTTATATAAAACAAGGGAAATTTATATTACAGTATTGAAAGATATGACTGTAAAGTTTAAATGTACAGTTCATTCATTTGTATGAACTTTTGTTGTTGTTTTTTTTTTTGTAAATATATTTTTAAAATATTTTGCTTGTTTTAAATATTAGGTCTATCACTGCGCATACATACCTCTTCCTTTTGTTTATATAATGTTGGTGGACTGGATGGTCTTACAGGGGCGGAGAACGGTGCCTCCAACATTTCTCTTGTGCTAGTAGAGAGACCTAACCTGGAATCGACATCTCTGGATTCTACTTGTCTGTGTCGATACTAGATAAGAAATAAAATGGTAGACTTATCAAGATTAGTCCAGGAATGGCAATATCGAATGCAGAGAAACACATTTTATTAGCGGCCCCCGAAAGAGGAAAAGACGCTATTAGTTTTGTGCGAAATGTCTGTCCGTCTGTCCCGTTTAGATCTCGTAAACTAGAAAAGATATTGAAAATCCGACATCACAATATTTTAGACCATTCAAAGTTCTGATGCAACGGCTACTTTTTTTTTTTGAAAGCGAAAAATCTAATTTTTAAAATCAGTTATGCAAGCAGTTTTTTAAAGAGAAAAAGCTAATTAGTATGTATTATAAGTTAGACCTAATTTAAAATGAATAGTAATCTTTTAAAGTTCATTTTTCTGAACATTTTTTTTATTGCGGATTTTTTTTTTTTTTTTTGAGGATTCGAATAAGAGATTGAGCCTTTTTAAAATAATTAGATCAATTATAAGACATCAATAGGCCAGGGTAGGCGCGGTGGCTGAGCGGTAAAGCGCGTGGCTTCCGAACCGGGGGTCCCGGGTTCGAATCCGGTGAAGACTGGGATTTTCAACTTTGGATCTTATTGATCTTTGGGCGCCTCTGAGTCCACTCAGCTCTAATGGGTACCTGACATTAGTTGGGGAAAAGTAAAGGCGGTTGGTCGTTGTGCTGGCTACATGACACCCTCGCTAACCGTAGGTCACAAAAACAGATGAACTTTACATCATCTGCCCTATAGACCACAAGGTCTAAAAGAAAACTAGTTAGGCCAGATTCACATCTAACTTTACATTCACTTACACCTATCCTTTGATCTGCGGGACCGTTGGGGCACTACACAAGATCTGTTAACCTTCTTTCTCCATTCTTATCTCTCATTTGTCTTTGATATATTTCATTTGCATGTTCTTTCTGAAAATATTGAAGCCTGCCTGGGTGGACCTCTTCGGGGGCCGATTCTAAGTTTGTGTTTCCACACAAACTGTCTTTTGTAACCTTGTTTTACTTAAACTGATCGAAAAAAAAGTTTTGTTTTTAGTTCAATAAATATTATACAGATAAAAGAAACAACTGTTTAGTTCGCAGCCCTCTTGAGGAAGTAGCTTACGTTTCATCCTAGACTATATATCTATGGTTTCCTGTGCCACGTAAAATATTCCACCAAAAATTCTCTATATAGCTTGGATATATTGAAGCAGGCCTTCATATCTCTACTATATGAATGTACTTATTAGTGCTATTTGGAATTACATATCTCTGCTATATGGAAGTACATATCTCTGTTGTATAGGCCTATATAAGCAATAAGCCTACATAGGCCTATATAAGCAATAAGCTACAAATCGCTGCTATATGAAAGTGCATATCTTTGTCAAAGATATTTACCCCCCCCTCCCCTCGTGTTAAAAGAAAAAAATGCATGCTTTAAATTTCTTCTTTTAAATTTTAATAACATTATATGACGGATTTTCTTCTTTTTAATTTCGGATTTAAACAAAAAACACACACAAAAAAATAAATCTTTTGGTGGGACACTATATTATGAAAAATACACGTATTCTTATAATTCTTTAAACGAATTTTAGCAGCTTAAAATATAAAGAACCAGTCTCAGCAGCTAGAGGGTTTAATTCTAGAACAAAGTTTAAGACACGATCAATACTGTGGGCCCTTGTCCCATGATCCCTTAAGCTGTTACCTGGCTACAAATTACGCTGGCCTGTTAACTCTAACAATAACCTGGGCATTATCTACACTCGAGTCTACCTTGACACAGGGGCCAATAAATAAGGCAATGACTCGATACGTTCCATGAAATGAGTTTAAACATCGATGTGTTTATTACCAATCAGAAACAAAAATGCTGGCCCTCGTGATAATTAAAAAAAAATAGTTTCTTTGATAAACATATTTCATAAAATTTATGCTATTTGTAATAATTATTTTGAATAATATTTACATGTTAGGTGTGCACGTCTTTGAGATGGCAGTTAGGCCTATGTTTATTTTGCGTCATATATAAGGGTCAAGATGACATACTGAACTATTTAGGGCAATAAGCTAGACCTTGTCAATATGTCCTAAAAGGACTAAGTCAAACGGGTTGGCTTTTATCTTTCTAGTCCACACCTCTCTCTTCCCCCCCACACACATACTTTTTAATAACTTTCTTTAATACTTGTTTCTCTTCCGGTTTTTCTTTCCCCCTGTCTCATAGCGCTGTGATCCTAAGTCTAGGTCTATAATAGGAGTGTCTGAGTGTGTGGCTTAACTCCATTAATTGAGTTAATAAACACAGGAAACAAAACTCAGCTGAAGCTAAATCAATTCAATCTAGCATTAATTATGGTTCAAACTGGTGTGACAGTCATATGGTTGAACAGGTTTATGTCACTTTGTCACAAACACCCATTTTACTTGCTTAGGATGTTCCTTCAGAATTGAAAATTATTATTTCCTAGCCCAGGGCTCGCAAAGACCTTCCTTCAGGGAACAGTACCAGGAAGAAGAAGAGAAGGAGGAAGACAGAGAAAGCGATTGGAAGACAACATTAAAGAATAGACAGGCCTGTCAGTGAATGAAATTCTAACCAAGGCAAATGACACAAAGGAATGGAGAAAGACGGTTGACAGTTCTTGTATGGTGCCCTAACTGTCCAACAAACGAAGGTATAGGTGAATGTGGAGACAAAACCCAAACTTCCCACAGGACAGCGCGGGATGACGGTGGCCAGGGTTAGGACAGTTTAGAGCGCACACCACACGACCAGGTTGCCGGGTAAAACCGAAAAAAAAAAGTTTTGTTGCAGATATGTTCACAGCATTCGAGCAGGAAACTAAAGCTGGTTTAAAGCTCAAGTAAATCCTATAGTTCAGTCTTCGTTCAAGTTTTTCCTTATCTTGTCATCTGATGTTGTTCTTTTTTTACGTCAAGTGTCTTTTTTCAATCACAAAAAGAAAAAGTCACAAGTGCCTAATCAGTGGGTAGCTTGGGATTTAGGGGACCCTGCTTTTTGACGTTCAACATTATGACATGAGACAATGGCGTAATATTTAATGTAAAAACAAATTTCGGACACTCATTTGGGGCCGCACCCACAAGTGGGTGCCCGGGAAATTTCAAATGTTGACACACACCCTCCCCCACCTTAGCTACGCCGCTGGGCCTAATTCTGCTGGTGCTCAGAGTTTCCTTGCATACTGTTTATGTATGTGTAGAGCTATAGCTTTAACTCTAGTGTTCTAATCCCAATTTGAACAAAAAATTAACTTGATATTTTTTCTTACTGTATCATTGTCAGACTGGATAGCTTACTGACTACATAAGTTGGGGAAAGTCGTAAGAAAGTCCGAAATCGCCGAACAAAAAATACTGTTAACCACCTTGGTCTAAGAACTACAGCGCTGCCCAAAGATTACGAAGTTTTTGAAAGTTGTAAATCCATTGCATCTGGAGAGCTTTCCGACAGTCACAGAGCAGAAAGAGAAGCACGAGAACTAGCAGCTACCAGGCTAGTAAATCACCCAAGTACCCAGCAACTCAAGCTTGTTTTGCCCGATGCAAAAACAGTCCTCCAAAGCTTGGAAAATTATGATTCCCCCTATGTGAAACAACTCAGGATAGCACTTATAAAGCTCAACAACAACAGCATTCAATGAAAACCAGCACATATTGAACTAGAAGGACATTAGAAGGCTGACACACTTGCAAAGTGTGGGAGAACAATTAACATTGCACTCTTTTCATAAGAAATGAAACAACTAATAGTGAATACAATAAATGAGAAATGGAGTGTTATAGGAGAACGCTGACCACGTCCTTCAAAACTGCATTCTTTATCAAGAGGCCCGAACAAGACACTGGCCCCAAAACTTCACAATAGAAAGAAAACTATATGGAGAGCTCCCTGATTAGGAAACCACTGAGCAGTTCATCTCATATATTGGTCTTATCTTATCTTATATAATACAGACGTTACTTCAAAAAAGAAGATGATTACGTCCTACGCGTCATGCATTTAGTCATGCATATTAACCAATGACTTAAATTCTGACAAGTCACTGGTTTTTCTGGCTAGCTCAGGCAACCCATTCCATGCTCTAATAGCACTAGGGAAGAAGGAGTATTTGTACAAATTTGTCCTAGCATATGGGACGAGGAATGTGCCTTTATTTTTGTGTCTTTCAGAGTATTTTATTAAATTTTGTTTTTGTATTTGAAGATTATGGTTCAGTGTTTTATGTATAATTAGTCATATGAACAAGCCAACATAAAAATGAGAAGGAGGAAGAAGAAGAAAGTTGTATGGTAACTGATATTAAAAGTAAATACAACTCGTTTGCAGGCATTGTTTTTTTTTTTTTTATTTATTTACTTACCACATTGAAAATTTCGTTCGATTTATACGAGATGAACTGCGCAGTAGTTTCCAAATGGCCATATCACAAGATCTTCGGGGCTCGCAAAGACCTTCCTTCAGGGAACAGTACCAGGAAAAAGAAGAAGAGACAAAGAAAGCGATGGGAAGACAGCATAAAAAAATTACGAGTGTGCCATTGAAAGAGGTTCTATCAAAGGCAAAGGACAGATAGGAATTGAGAAATACGATCGACAGATCTTGCATTTTACCCCAACGGTCCAACAGACTAAGGCATAGGTAAAGGTAAAAACATAGTTGGCCAGGTAGGCCTAGATCTGATGTTATATTAAACTAGACACATGCTTTATATTAAAAACGTACCCAGAGTCCATCACTATCCGTAGCATGCGTGAAATTTCGGCCTTTTGTCATAATTAGCTTTAAACGCAGGTAACCATGTAAAAAAACAAGTTTAAATGTTTAAAGTCTGTATACTTCAAGGAAACATTATCCCGTTTGGCAGTGGGCCCTACAGCCAAGAAAATCTCCCTGTCAACGACTTCGTCCGTTCACCCAAATCTTTCAATTAGTTTTCAATCAAACTACAGTTAACTCCCCGTGAACCTTTAACCACTAAGGGAGCCAACAACACCGCCGCGTTTTCCTTTTAATGCCATGACTGACAGAAGCAGTATGAATAAATTAATTGTCCGATCTGCTTGCCTATCGATCTTACTGTACTAATATTTTGAAAGTCACGTCTTCTCTATGTAGACCTGGCTGTTGACTGATTCGTGTATGTGTGTGTATGTATGCGTTGTTGATCTAAATGGATTGGCACACAGGCCTAACTATAATAATCAATGATTCTCAAACCAGATATACACTTGTACAATTGTATCTAGCCTTGATTAATTATTTAACGAAAGTTTTACATTCCATTCCATAATTTATACAAATAGAAACAAAGAGTAAGAGCAGTGTGTGACAGGGGAGAGGCAAGTAGCATACATTATCACATGGGCGTAACCGGGAGTGGGTTGGGGTTCAACCCCCCCCCCCCCGAAATGAAATGCATGAAAGATGAATTTAGTGACTGATTTTTTGCTTTGATTTTGTTTATTTTAGGTGAGATTTTAATACTAAACCATCACTTGCCCCAGCGCAGCCAAGAGGATTTTGAGTTTAAACCACACTACCAGGGGGTTTTGCAGTTAAATCCCCCTCTTCTATAAAACAAAACAAACAAGAAATGCAAACGACAATCTCCAAATTCCAAGAGCATAGCTAAGGAAGATTTTGGTTTTAAAACTCTTTCCTAAAACCCCCTCGTCAATATAAAAAAAAATTACACACTCAAAATTCTATGATTGTAGCCAAAAGGGGTTTTGAGTTAAAACCCTCTCCAGTGGGGTTTAAAGCTAAAAAATACCTCTTCAATATAAAAAAGCAAATTACACACTCAAAAATCTTAGAGCGTAACCAAAGGGGGTTTAAGTTTAAACTCCCCTTAAGCGGGGTTTGAAGCTAAAAAAATACCTCTTCTATTTAAAAAAAAAAGCAAATTACACACTCAAAATGCTATGAGCGTAGCCAAAGAGGGTTTTGAGTTAAACCACCCTCCTCCAGATGTCATTTTTAAATAGTTTAAAACCCCTCCAGATGGTTTTAAGTTTAAAATCCCCATACAGAAAGTTTTGAGGTTGAAAACCTCCACTTCAATATTAGTCTAAATCAAACTACACCCACCAAATTCTGAGCGTAGCTAAATGGGGTTTTGAATTTGTTAAAAAAAAAAATTCCGGAGATTTTTTAGTTTAACCCCCCCCCCCCCCCCCAAATGATTTTGACGATGAAACTTCCCTTTTCGATAAAAAATCTAAAGCAAACTACAGTCACCTAATTCCAAGAGCGTAGCCAAGAGAGGTTTAAAAATTCTACCAGTGACCAATACGTCGA